TGACGACCATGGTCCATTTTATAAACCTGAAATACAAATACATTATTCAGCAAGCCAGAACCCAAACAAAGAAAGGAACAGATGAAAGGAATGGATGAAAACCCAAACATAGAAAKGAACAGATGAAAGRAACAGATGAAAACCCAAAAACAACATAATCTGTCCAAATTCATGGGCTTACCATGGCCTAGGTAGTGMAAATTCAAGAAGGATATTGATTCTRTCAAATTTCAAGGTCACGACCATGGYCGTGKTACGACMGTGAATTTGGACAGAACCAATGYCRTGGTACTCTTTTTCATGGCYGTGGTCAAGCAATCATTTTAACCACGGCCAAAAACCACGCCCATGAAATTTGCRTTGAACCACGRCCGTTAACGYGCCCATTAAACCTTCMTTTTTMCACTRTAGAAAACYCACACAACGATAACAAAMGCARCAGAAAACGTTCAGCCCACACAAACCCAYGCAAACACAACCKAAAACAGAAACCCTRAAGCCCTAAATCAAAATTTCAACCACAAACGCAAATCATAAACAAAAAACGCCGATTTCGAGCCCTACAAGTACCGAAAATACTAAATTGGCTGCCATGGAAGGAATTAATGGACGAATAACGAAAAAAATAGCAAATATAAGTAAAAAAAAAWTATTTTCTTGCCATAAAAGGGACGCAAATACGAAATAAAATGTTATAACCTCGAAGTTTCRGATATGGGAAGCGATTCGGAGCACGATATTGACTAGTAGAGAGTGAAACAGAGGAAATTGAGGGAGTGYAAATCGAATGGGYGAAAACGAAAACGAAAACGRAAGAACAAAAAAGAAGATGGAATGAGAGATACGAACAGTTTGAATTTGAAATGAGGGGTATAATGGTCATTAAAYTAACGGCCGTGGTACTCTTTTTCATGGCCGTGGTCAAGCAAACAATTTAACCACGGTCCAACCTAGCCCATTAGTTGTCTTTCATGAACACCACGGTCGTGGTACTAGTTTTCACGG